GGAGCATTGTTGTATGGATGAACAGACCTACACCCATCCCAGTGCTTCTTATGACAGTTCACCATGATTCACAAGTCCACAGAAACTTAGCTGTATCAGCCAGCCTGTAGCTGGGAGGACAACTGGCAAACAAGGAGGTGCTAAAATACAAATTTCCAGCTCAACCTAAGGACTATGGGGAGGAAATACAAATGTAGCCCAATTTGCACATTTTCTGAGGGCTCCATGATGTCTTCAAGGGCATGTCATTCCTTTCTTCAAGTACCTGAAAACTCAGAAACTGTTGAATAATTTTACAAAACTCATACCTAAAACAAGTGAAGGGGAAATTAGAGGTGCCAAGACCTGCCAGTATAACACTAGTTACCATAAAGGTACTGGAATAAAAAAATAAGTGGTGGATCTGTAGTCACTTCAGAAACAGCAAGATGACATGATATCAACCTGAACTGACCAACAGGCATTTGTCTAGAAGCAAAAATGTTAAACCAGCTATTATCTGATCCAGGCAAGTAACTGGCCTTGCTGCTAAGGAGAGGCTGCCTGTGTCTGTGGCCATCTTGGCACTAGCTGACCTCTTGGTGTGATCACATCTGGCTTCCTCACAAGCAGAAGTGATTTCAAAGAGGTTAGTATCCTTCTGAGGATGGTGGGACTTCTCTTTCCCAATTAGAGGCTAAAACCTAGAGGGTGGGAAACGTACAGGTTCTTGGGTTTAGGGGACAGAAGGAAACAGCTAGAACCAGGCACGGACTGTCATGGACTATACAGGATGCACTGGCACTAAACCCCTATGGCCTTGCTCAGGATCATTGCTCTTGGGAGAGGAGACTACAGCTTGCCAATGACTCAGGAGTGTTTGAATGAGCTGGATGGAGAAATGATACACCAGTTAACACCGTTCCTCAAATAATTTAAAAAAATATTTAAATGTCATAAATAAAGACTCGGCCATTGCCACAAAGTACCTGCAAAGACAACTGAGTAAGTTTTAGGGAAAAGAAAAATGAAAAAAATAACTGAGTTCAGGGGAATTTACGCTTCTCATTTTCTCCACCAAGGACTGTACTGTGAAAATACCTGTACCACAGGTAAACTGTACCACTGTACCACAGCAAAACACTCAACCCCAACACTAGTTAGAAAGCTGCACTGAGCAAATCGCATGGCTCTCCAGCACCAGCTCCACAAGAGCTGCCCCAACAGCGGCTTCACCATTATTTTTTTTTTTCCTACTGGATTTGCAGCTCTAGTGACCCTATAATTACAGCAAAAATACACAAGTCACTTAATTTACCCAAGTAATTAAACTAGACTAATGTGCTCGAATTATTTCTTCCATTCAAAAAAAAACCAGTAAGATTTCTAGTATCTTCTCCTTCTTTGTAAATGCTCTGGAAATTGCAGCTAAAATTTCAGCTGTCAAGAGAGTGCATGTTGGGTGTCGCAGTGGATAAAGCCCGAGTGTTCTACTGACTCGAGGTGCCAGCTCTCTGCTCCAGGACCAAACCAAAGCTGTGCCCATGAAATCCAATCGCTCATGTCACAAAGCCCAGATTCGTCTCCAAACAGTCACTGCAGTCACTAGTGAGGGGTCTACGCAAAAACCTCATTACTAAAGAGTCCTGTTAAGCCAATATCCAGAAGCTCCCTCTGTCTAATGGCAGAGAACTGAAATGGCATTGTTACATAAAAAAAAATGATGTTCACTTTGAAGTTACAGGCTTCTGTCAGTTTTACATGCACACAATCTTCCCATTTGGATGGTTTATTATTAGAATGAATTATTATTACAATACCCCTTCAGTTACACAAGTGCTCCTTCAGTTAGGACCAAAGAATAAACTGGGAGCTGAGAGAGAGAGATATTTTATAAATAAATAACATTTTCTATAAATTTCAAGTGTGAGCATGGCTGTATCAGCTCTGTAACATATCATAGTCACTTCTCTTGTGGCACCTCTCAAAACAGAAGGAAATACTTCACTACGTTTCTGTTCATCATACACAGAAACAATGGTGATATTCCTCTTAGTGTTAAATTATTGTCTACTCCAGTGCCCAAATCCCACGTGATCTGGCTGCGAGGAGAGGTGTCAGACATCCCTTCCTGGCCTCTCAGCAATTTTGCTCCTGCCCTGACTGGCAGCGCTGCGATGGCACCTTGCCCAATAGAACATTTACTCCCTCAGAAATTCAAGCAGCCTTGATATTTTCTTTATGGTAATATCCAAGTTACCAAGGGCTTTAAGGTCGTGACGACCTACAAAGAAACGCTGTTCTTTGCTTACTCGCTGAATGGAAAACGAAGCAGCCCAGATACATTATCGTTAGATCGGGCGTTATCTGAAGCAGGCTGGGCTGCTCCGCAGGAAGGAACAGATAACGGCATTTGCCTTGGAACTGAGAAAAGAAATCCTTAAAACAAAGCTTTATACATTTTGCATTTTAAAACTCAGCGTTTCTCCCTTTCACTACCACTGCATTTGTTTTAGAGGATGTTGTTAAGGATGCAGAGCATCACCCTGGGATGGCCTTGGTGGTCTCATAATAGAAACTTCTGCTAAAAAGGCAACGTGTTTGAATGCACTGGGAGAAGGAAGTGCTTGATGGTGAGTAATTACACCCAAATTAAACTATGTGAAAAATAGCACCATGGCCATCTTATTTCTTAATGCAGGTCAGCAATTCAGCCAACATCTACGAGTCCTCAGAACTGGTCTATGAAGAATTGCTCCCCAGCTCGATGAGCAATGAGTTTCTTTAGTACCAGACTTGAGTAAACTGTCTTTAAAACATACCTTGAAAATGGTGTCTGATCAGGGTCAGTGATGTGAAAGTTGCCAAACTCCAAATAAAGACTTTGCCTCCTTGCCTGGAGACAGTCAGTGATGCAGCTTCAGGCGTAGACACGCATGAGCAGGTGGGAATTCTTCTTCCAGCTGGCTCCAATTGCAGAAGGTATTTATTGCAGTGAAACCCTGGAAGCACAGCTTCAGCTCAGACCTGTGCAGACCCACCTTGTGAACATCCTTGAGTTGTGCCAGCTCATGTTATGTCAAAACAGGGTGTGCTCAGTTCCTCCGAATCCATATAAATGCACTGGGATGCTGAGCAGGTAGACATCTGCATGAACCTGTTCTGAACATGAAGGTGGTCAGCTGCAAATCCCAGGTCCAATGGAAGGAGGAAAATGAAACCAAGAATACAGCATCATCAGTGCTGTTTTTAGCTGGCAGACACATTTTTTAGTCTACTCCTTTTCTCTTAAAATATCATTCTTCAATAAAGGTGGAATAAAACTCCTAGAATTATCGATATAACTTAAATCACATGAAATGGGGATGTTGAAGAATTTGACACAGTTTAGAGACACAAAGTCCTCTGTGTCTCTTGGAGAGATAATTATAATTTTAAAATTACTATCATTGAATTTATTTTTGATTCTCTGTGTTGTGTGGTGTCAGAGGAGATATTGGTACTGGTGTGACAGGCAGCGACCTCCACTCCTAGAGCATGTGCACCTGTAGAAGTTGCTGCTCCTGAGAGGAGACGGAAAGAAACACACCAGCCCTATCTGCTACATGATGTTGCCACGTGGCTGGAGAAACTAATTGTGGAAGTACACCATGTAGATGTCCACCTACCTAACAGTCACGCTGCTGAGGAACACCAAAACAACCAGCAAGTGGATCAGGCTGCTAAATTGTTCCAGACAGACTTAGACTGGGAACATAAAGGTGAACTGTTCTTCAGCTTGGTGGACTCATGACACCTCAGGACATCAGGGAAGAGATGCAACATAAAGATGAGCTCAGGACCAAGCAGTGGATTTAATTATGGGCTACTGTACAGGTTACCCATGATTTTAAAGAATGCACCACAATCAAACAAGCTAAACGGTTAAAACCTTTGTGGTATGGGGGATGATGGTCAAAATATAAATATGGGGAGGCCTGGCAGACTGATTACATCACACTCCCTCAAACCTGCCAGGGTAAGTGCTATGTATTTACAGTGGTGGAAGCAACCACTGGATGGCTGGAAACCTCTCCAGTTTCCAAAAGTCCCTGTGGTGTATGAAAGGAATTTGCTGGGGAAAACTGTGGGGGTATTCCCTGCTTCAGACAAAGACAAACCCATCCATGGGGTTGCTTTCACTCAAGGGGTGGAAGCAACCACTGGATGGCTGGAAACCTCTCCAGTTTCCAAAAGTCCCTGTGGTGTATGAAAGGAATTTGCTGGGGAAAACTGTGGGGGTATTCCCTGCTTCAGACAAAGACAAACCCATCCATGGGGTTGCTTTCACTCAAGGACCTGGACATACTTGATGGGTGATGATGGAAGATGAACTACCATGTGTACCTCAAGGGAGTCTAACTTTGGGTGAGAATACTCGGTTTAAAGCTGTGTAATGTTAATTGTATAACTATAACATTGTTCACTAAGTGTATTTTACGGTAACATAGTGGTGATGACAAGAGCTAGTTTCATTGAATGGTGCCCAGTAAGCTCCAGAGGTGAACCATGGACATGAACCATGATGAGTTCCATAACATCTTTCCTGCCCTGAGAGACTGCTGTGATAGACGGAAATCCACACGCATAAAGTAAATGAATTTAATGAACTTTTCTGTAGAAAGAAATTATCATATAGTGGTGGGTATAATGTAAATGGTATGGAATAAGGGGTGGCATATCCTGGTTTGAGTTAGTTTTAGTTCTATTCAGTGATTTTACTTTTCACCCAAGTCTCTTCTAAGTGACTGCACCTTCTGAAGCTAACAGCAAATTTTTGCAGACAGTCTCTGCTTCTAGCAGGAATAACTCTCCATGCTTAGTTACTACCAAGGGTTGGGCAGTGCAGAAAGGCTCTTGCTTCTACTTCCTCCTGTGCAGACCAAGATCACTCTTAAGTCTTGTGCACCATGCTGGAGTGCAGTAAGTAAGAGGTGGCACCTGCAGGGAGGAGTGGCCAGGACAGATGACCCTAAACTGACCAAGGAGGGATTCCATCCCATGGACATCAAAGCTGAGGGATCACGAGGGTCAAGCCTCTTCCTCAATGGCCAGCATCCAAGAAGGACTCTCTCTGTTCCACCTTCAATCCCAAACCATGTGTTCCAGGATCCAGCTCCTGAATTTGGTTCCCATCTGCCATCGAGTCCAGTCTGAGACTTCCCCAGTGCCTGCTCCACAGCACCAGTGGTGATGTAATTCCCATCAGGGGGTTGGGCTTGATATTGATTTTGTATCTGTTTGTATATATTCAATTTTGTTATTATCTTCACTAAAACCATTTTTAGTTTTCTTTTCCAATCCTTATGTCTCTGTCCTTATTCCCTTTCTCTTCCCCCTTGGGCAGGGAGAGGGGTTAGTAGAGAGCATCTGTCAGTTGTCTGTTGTCCAACTCTGCCCTAACCCTTGATGCATTGAATCCCAGTTGTTAATTCCATTTTACTGTGTAGGATTTTCCCAGTTCAAGCTGAAATCCTCTTATATGAGCAACCTATAAATATTAAATAAACAGTTATTAAACACCACATTACAACCATTTTTCCTTCAGTCAGCAGAGATGCTGGTCCTCAGTAACATTTTACTACACAACAACTCACAAAAATCCCTGTCCTGAAACATTTGATGCAGTCTCACTTTTACCAACACACACAACTGATATTCTTGCAGATAAAATATTTCAAAATTAAGAACCTAAAAAAAAATGAGCCAGTACTAACATATTTGTTGCCCTCCTCCAATATGAAATAAAATCACAAAATTAATTCTCCTCTTAGAAATGAAATTTTTGCTACCTAACTAAACTTTTTGTTGCACTGAGGGTCTGATAGCAAAACTTAGATGCGCTTTCTCTGCAGGTGAACTGAATGTAAAAGTACTTTTGTTCTGTAGCAAAATACATGATACATTTTGTGGAAACAACATCAGTACAGAGTACTGTCCTCTGCAATACATAAAATAAAGGTAATCCAATTTCAAAGATGTTTACTTCCCATTTTCCTGTTACTGTTTTACCTTTTTTTCAGGATAATAGGTGATATTAAGTGGCTGATTTTCCACAACTTTTTGCTGAGATACAATAACTTCTGTTATTTTCTGCGATGCTCCCAATATCTTGATTTCTTCAAATTTCAAGTTGTTTGGATCAGTATAATTGCTGTTTAGAGCAGCTATTTGTAGAACATTCTGAAAAATAAGAGTGATCACATTCTTATGAAAAAAATCTGCCAACATTCCTCCTGATTTAAGAAGTTTTTCTAATTAGATTGTCTGACTGTAGCACAAAGTAAGTCAATACTTTTTTCTACCATATTAATTATTGCCTTGCCTGTTATCGTAATAATGCTTTTCTACCATGTATATAGTGTGGTTCATAATTATGGTCCAGCTTCTTGCTTCTGCTGTTTCAGAAATAAGAAAAGGCTGACACGTGTCTATGACAGGGCAGATAAACTCTACTCAAGGGTTATCTCACCATGTATTAACAAATGAAGCTTCATATTCACTTTTCTTGATATCAAAATACCTGTTCCTATTCAATTGAATTACTCATTATTAGATTAAGAGTCCAAACAGTGGAACTGTACCGTGGCTGGTACATATTCCAGTGTGTAACTTCCTTATTACTCTCCATATGTAAGTTCATGTTAATTATTAATTCAACATCATTACAACTGATGATTAGGCTACGAGAGCTTCAAATTCCAATAGTAACTGAGGTTTTTATCTACAAATGGTTACATGCTTATGTATCATTAAAAAATAATAATTTATGCGTGTTCTTCCCATTTCTGTTCCTTTGCTTCCACTCCCATTTCCCTATGGATTCTCTCACAGTTCCTGCCCTGTTGTTTCACCATGGCAAGGGAAAGAACACCTTCAGCAGATATTATTATTATTCAAAAAATATTGTATGACTTGGAATTCTTGTAGCATATCTGGTCAATACTGAACAGAAACACTAACTGGACTCCATTCTGACAGAGATTAACCCTCCTAAGGAAGGTTCAGTTTAAAAAAAATAATTAAAAAAAAAATTAAATCTTAGTCATGAAGTAGGTTCCATGGGTTCAGCCCAGGCATACACAGCTCTTCCTCTCACTCTTTGAAAACATTCAGCTTCAGTTTTACAGTGTACAAAGGTATTTTTTCAAATTTCTAATATTTCAAGAATGACAAACACTACATTCATCTCCTTTCTTACTCTAACTGCCACTGGTGCTTTATAGTTATCTTGTTCAATAAACATTGCTGCTGAATTTGTGAAAGGAAATAGTTCTTTACAGACTTGTATTAACTTGAGAGGAAAAGCCAAATAACTGATTTTTATCCCTATGAAATTACAGTAATTTGAACATGACTCCAACTGTGTCAAATATTTTGCTTCTCAGTAAAGCTTATAAGAGAATAGTAAGAAGAAAATTCTCTTTGATGATATTATTGATAAAAATAGAATCATTTAAAAGAAAATACTCACATTGGAAACTGTAAACTCGTAGTAAATGTAGGTTTTCCTCTCAATTGTCCCTAAAATGTAAAGACGGAAGTTACATCTGAAGTGCAGAAAGGAACAGCATTAAAAAGAGGACTGTGCCACTGATAGAGATAAATAAATAGCTAATTATTATTATAGACTGCAATGAGCAACTCAAATATTTACTAATTTTTCTCTGAGGAACCAAAATGTCTCTTTTTCTGTTTTCCTTAGGACAGTCTCCCAGGAGATCTAATTTTCTAGACTTTCCAGAAATTCATTGAAAATAGCTTTTCTAAAGGGCACTAATTTTTATTTTACTTAACTATTATTCCTTTTTAGCTTCCCTTAAATGGAGGTATATGTCCCAAAGTTAATCCTTTAAAAATACTGTGAATAAGTGCTTTTCATGTAAAAATGACAATATTATTTATCATCACTGACACAGAAGCACAACAGAGGAAATAACACATGACCAGGGAAAATAAAGATAAAAGGTGAATCAATCTGGCTATTTGTTTCCATGTATGAAATGAAAAAAATTCAAGCAGAGGCCTGAATGTTTTATTCTGGGAAATAAAATTTGAGAGTTAAAATAATAAAAGTGACTAGTACTGGTTAAACACATAATGTAGAGGACAAGGAATGGGAATGTAATTTTGACCCCCAAAAGAGGTTGTTGCTTTCATGGGAGTTGAGTCAGAGCCCTGGGTGCTGCACAAGTGAGGAGGTTGTGAGTAAGGATGAAGTGGCTTTTAGCAACTAGAGGGTAAACCAGAGAATCTAGACCACTTAAGTATGTAGAAGAAGGTGGTTAATTGTAGAAGATAGAGATAAGAGTGTACCAATACAGATACTGCCTGTAAGTGGACAGTGGTGATGTTTATTCTTCATCTGAATGAATTCATTTGACCTGAATCTTATCTTAAGCTAAAAGGTATGTGTGTTCTAAATGGTTTGACAGGAAGCAGCAGTGAGGTAAGCAGTATCAAGACCTGTTCCTCACAAAAGATGAGGCTGACAGGCCTTGGCATAATCCTGGTGACTGTCCCAAGGGAAACCAGATCTCCAGCAGCTTTACTAAAGGCCAGGTTGGCAACAGGACAACTAGAGCCCTACGCTCTT